TGGGGTGGTGGGGGGGAAGAGCGCCAGAGCGCGAGAGGGAGAACCTGGCTGGGCTGCTTTAAAAGACGCGCACGATGGAAACCAGGAAGGAGATGGTGCTGTTTTTGGACGGAGGTCAGCTTGGCCCTCTGGCTGGCAAGAGGGCGCCCAATTTGGCAGAGGCCGTGGGGGGGCCGGGCCCGGAGCCGCAGGACAAGATGATGCCCAGGACTTGCTTGAGCCCTAGAGCTGCCCCCCTGTCCTCCCGGGGAGCAGGAGGAGAAGAAGAGGAAGAGGAGGATGAGGAGGAAGAAGAGGAGGTGGAAGTCCTACCAGCGCCAGGGACGGTCCCGGAGAACCGCTCCGCAGCGGCGGCGCTTCTTTCTGCTGGTCAGCAGCCCTCTCTCCACCGCCTCCCCCCCACCAAAGGCCCCCAGAGCAGCTCCGACACCGAATCGGATTTCTATGAGGAAATCGAGGTGAGCTGCACTCCGGACTGCGCCCCCGGCAACGCGGAATACCACCACCAGCACGGCAAAGGTACCCGACCCCTCCCTGCTTCCCCTCTCTTGAGCTCCCCGGGGAGACCCATCTGGACTTGCAGCTGGGCGGGACGGGACGGGACGGGTCGGGACGGGACGGGACGGGACGATCGCTGTTCTTTGGCTCCGTCCTCAGAGTGCTTCAGGGCGGCCACTAACAGGCCTATTGCTCCGGTCTGGCTTAAGTGATTTCTGGATCGCCGCCTGCGTTTTATTTTCTCCCCCTCCCTCTTTGAACTGCTCTCCCCCAGCCTCCAAATCCTGCGGCTTGGGTCGCTTCCATCTCTAATTGCCCACCGAGAGACATCTGCAATGAGCCACACACATCTCCCCCTTTGAAGTCTAACGACGTGTTAATGGAGGACGTGAAATCGCTTCCTCGCTGCAACAGAGAATTAAGAGCTTTACAGATTTCCCGCGCCCCAAAGCCTAGACTTTGATTGTAATAAATTCCCCAGAAGCTGCTGCTTCTTTTTTTCCCCTATTGCTGTGCCTAGCACCTCCTTGATGCTCCCCCTCTCCAGAATTATAGGACTGCGTGTGCCCCCTGCCCCCTTCCTATTGCTGAGGAACAGGAAAGGAAAGCGAGCCTCCTCCTCGGCATTTCAGCAAGATCAAAAGCATCTATCCGCGCCTGCCGGCCGTCCTCTCCAGAGGCTCTGTTGCAAGGAGTGCGGGCGGGCGCGTTTCCCTTAGCAGAACTGCAGAATGCCTGGGTGAGCAAAGAAGCAGTCACCAACACAGGCGACATCACACAGGCACGTCGCCCCCCACCCCCCCAGACAGAAAGACTATAAAACCACGGTCTCTTTCTCTCCCTCCCCCCCTGCCCCCCTCTTCTCAGCTGCCCTCCCTGCAGTTCTCAGGTCCTCTTGGCAGGTTGGTTCGAGGCCCCAATTACTTTTCACTTCCCTGTCTTGGTGGCGCCAGCTCGGAAGTGGTCGCGGGGTTAATGCCTTTGGTCTCAGGCGGACACCCTGAGAACTGGCTGCAATGGAAAGCAAAGGGCCAGAGTCGAGGGCCTTTCTCATCCCCTCCCTGCCTCCCGCCTCCCTCCCTAAATCCCAAAACCCTAAGCGCCTTCTGTGAAAAGGATGACCGGAGTGAAAGCTCCTGTTTTGCTCCTGGGAATTTCTTTCACATGGAGTATCAGGAGAAAGAAGAAAACCACGGTTTCCTGTAAAGAGAGAGACGGAGAGAAAGAGCAGGTTGTGTCTGGTCGCAGTTTATAGCCTTGCTTCCCTTATCACGGATAGCTTGGCAAAGGAGAGCAACTGGGGCTTGGAGAAGGCCTGGCAGCTACTTCACCCCCCCTCACCAGCCACCAGGCCCAAAAGTTGCTGGCTGGATCCCCCAGTTCTTTCACACAGCGGAAAAGGGGAATCTGACCGAGGGGCTCAGACACTCCTTTTGCCTGTCGTCTTCCAATATTTTTTACAATGCACTACAAGATATAATCCAACGCAGACCCTGTCCTGTCCTATTCACTGGTTTCCTGTGTGTGTGTGTGTGTGTGTGTGTGGTTTCTATGTATTAACTTCCAGAAAGCGGGTCGGTCGAGTGAGCCTTTCATAGCAAAACCATTCAAGCGGCAGAACTCAGACAGCTGAGGACACTTATTGTAGCGTAAACTTTAAACTTTCCAGGTCCGTTTGATCAGATGCAGAATGTTGATGGTGACTTTTTTTCTTTTTTTGGCAAGGAGGGCTACCGAGGCCCTTTAAATGCTTTTCCATGGGGAGAAAAAAGGAATCTCAGACTCTTATTCCGGTCTTCCAAGTTCTTCTTGACTGCAGGTGCTACTGAATAAAAGAGTCAGAGAAAAGCTCACCGTTCTTTCCGCTTCCGGAAAGGAGTTTGCAGCCCAGAGATGCCGATGCGTCCAAGTGGACGCCGGGATACATCCCTCCTCAAGTCTCCCGACACCTTGGCTTGCAATCAGAAGCCAGGTAGCTTTTGTTGCGTGGGATAGCAGTCTCAGTGCCAGAAAGGGGCATGGCATACGAATAAAACATGTCTAGGAACAGGGCAAATGGAGCTTATGTGGAAGTGTGTCTGATGGATTTTAGGGTAATTTATTCCAGAGTGTGGGCCTGGGATTGCGGCTTTATATGCGTAGTATAAACACCACGAAATGGGATTGGCAATGAGTGGATCTCTATCCTCAACAGAAAGGCGGGCGGAACAACCCTATGCATGTTCAAGTGGGAAAAATCAATCGGATTTCCTCCTTGGTAGGTATATTTAGGATTATAATTTGAAAGAGAGAAGAAAGAGATTCGACATTCAGTGGGCATTATTGGGCAGTCGTAAAGGATTTCAAAGAGCTCTCCTTGCTTTGTGGAAGACCACGTCTAATTAAATCCAACTCATAGCCTGCCCAAGCCTTGAAAGTAAAACCCATTCAGTCTAATGAACAAGTGTGCCTATGGTCGAGGGTCAAGCGTACACCTTGGGCATGCCCCTACAGTATTTACATTTCAACTTGAGGACTGAGCTGGTCATAGCAGCCCCTGAATGCCCCCCCCCAAAGCAACCAGCAGTCAGCCTGGCTTGTTTTTACCCCTAGGCATTCACTCTTAATTTCAACCCCACGCACTGGACTCTGCGGTGCAGTTATAACACTTTGTATTCTGAGATTAATGGCCTGCCTGGGTCCCACATCTTCAGAAGCCAAGGAGAATAACTTGCTTTATTTTGAACGTGGTGAAACAGCCCTGCCAGCTTTCTAGGGCCCATCCGATAGTACTCCAGAGGAGCTCCTGTCCTGAACCTCTGTTCCAAAGTCCTGTCCTGATGGCACTGCTGCCCGGGTTGATGTGGGAGGGGAAAGAAATAGAAATTGGGGGGTGGGGACGTCAGAGCTCCAGCTGTCTTCCTCTCTCTGGATGGCTTCCTCTCTGCTCTCCCCTGCAGGTCAGTGCTCAGAAACTTCAGCAGAGAGCCCCAGCAGCGCAGTCGACCCCTCCAAGGGCAGCAGCGGTGGCGGCGCAGGCAGTGGTAGCGGAGGAGGAGGAGGAGGTTCTCAGGGATCGCTGGCCTGCAGCGCCAGCGATCAAATGCGCCGTTACCGCACTGCCTTCACCCGGGAGCAGATAGCCAGGCTGGAGAAAGAGTTTTACCGAGAGAATTACGTGTCCAGACCTAGGAGGTGCGAGCTGGCCGCCGCCTTAAACCTACCTGAAACCACCATCAAGGTAAGCTTGCATGTGGGGATCTCAATATCATCCCTTCCCCATCAGGCATCGGCCAAGTTTCCTGCACGCTTGACCACAAAGAAGCAGGAAACTTCCCTGGACTTCGGAGCATTTCCAAGTGTCCGGGCTAGGGCTTTGACCCTCTCCAAGCCCTTTCAACTTCCCACTAGTTCTCACTGTCAAATTGCTTCAAAGGCCACACTCTTTCCAGAATGGCCAAGGTGGGTCTTGATCTGCATTTGCAATTGGTTGATTTCACCTTGAGATGTGCTCTGGCTAGACGGTGCCCCAGCACTGCAGTGGCTTCTTCTTGAGAGAAGCGGAATTAGCCGTCTGCTGGGAAGTAAGCCTCGGTTCATTCCTTCAGTGAGACTTTTTTCCAGGTGAGTGTGACTAGGGCTGCAGCTTTAACCTGTTTCTGGGCAGCTTCCTAAAATCAGTCCCAAGTAGTGCTAAGTCCTTAAGATGATGATCAGGAAAATCATCAAGCCTTGAACACCTGGGGGTTTTTTTTTGAGCCCACCTTAACTCCCCACATGCATCAGCTTGTAATCTGGTCTGCTAAAATCAATAGCACTTACTCCAAAGTCACTGCATTTAAACCGGAATGTCAGGCTTCACCCACTAGAATGGAAACACGGTGGCTTAAATAACATCTGGATCATTATATCACATATATGTTTATGCAGATTTACTTGGGAAAGCACCTTAAAACTGGGGAGATTTTCTAGGCATCTATTTACCTACTTTTTTTTTGCTTACTTTTCCTGAAACAGAAATGTTTAATCCTGAGCCTCTGTGAGCGCATATTAAAGACTCATTTTCAACGCATTAGCATTAAGGAATTTCCTATACACCCAGGCGGGCTGTTATTCAGGTTGTAGGTTTCACTGCTCATCTTAGAGATGAGAATTGCCTGAAAGGTCCTGGAAATATTTTGGCAAAGACCAAAAATTGGCAGAAAAGAAAAGACAGAAAGGCATGTAGGAAGCAATCCTATTATTAGGGTATTATTAAAATTATTAATTATTATTATTATTACAATTTATGTAACAATAGTAGCATTAATTACCTGCTGCACTGGACTTTATGTAGATGTCAAAGAAGGAAGGGAAGGGTTTTTTACCTGCTGTGGAAGAATATAGTAAGAGTATATAGGGTATGGATGTTCCACAGAAGCATATTTCTGCATCCTTCATGATCTGCACTTCTGTCTTTTTCACTCAAGTATTCCAAGTCTAATTCACAATAATTTTGTTTTATTTCTACTTAAATGTGTAGGCCACAAAAAATTACACTCCTTGACAATTATGTAAATCCGACAAGTATATTATTGTGAAGACCAATAAATATAATGAACCCTCCCAATCTGATTTTTAATGGTGGTGTGGGAGAAAATACTGGGCACACAGTTCCATGCCATCGAAGTCTTGAATATCCTGGGTAGCCAGAGGCACCTGCCCCTAGTCTGTAGCTGGCACCCTCCAGATGGATGCCTTGGGCTTCAATTCGGACAAGAACTCCCAGCTGACAGCCAAGGATGGGAATGGTAGTCCAAGGACTCTGGAGGGCCCCAGCTTGGGGAAGGCTGCCGACCCCAGGTCCGTAGGTGCTCGGCCAAAGGGCGGAGGGTTGCAGCGGGAGCCCAGCCTTGCTGGCGACTCAGAGCTTCCTTTGCTTTGCCTGTCTGTCCCCCCCTCCCCGCCCTCAGGTGTGGTTCCAGAACCGGCGGATGAAGGACAAGAGGCAGCGCCTGGCCATGACTTGGCCCCACCCGGCGGATCCGGCTTTCTACACCTACATGATGAGCCACGCGGCGGCCACCGGCAACTTGCCCTACCCCTTCCCCTCCCACCTGCCCCTGCCTTATTACTCCCACATGGGGCTCGGAGCCGCTTCGGCTTCGGCCGCAGCCGCCCCCTTCAGCTCCCCGCTGAGGCCGCTGGACACCTTCCGCGTCCTGTCCCACCCGTACCCGCGACCAGAACTGCTCTGCGCCTTTCGACACCCCTCCCTCTATGCCGGCCCGACCCACGGGCTGAGCGGCGCCGGAGGGAGCCCCTGCTCCTGCCTGGCTTGTCACGGGAGTCAGGCGACCGGGCTCGCGCAGCGGCCTTCGGGATCGGACTTTAACTGCTCGGCCACTACCCGGACGGACTCCTTTCTCACGTTTACGCCTTCGGTGCTGAGCAAGGCCTCCTCGGTCCCCCTGGACCAGCGCGAAGAAGTCCCTTTGACCAGATAAGGGGCCCATCTCAGGTTGCTCTCCCCCTCCCCGCCCGGCCCGCACTCCTTCCCAGAGATCCCCCGGCCCGTGGTCGCTCCCCGTCTGGTGTTTAATCCCTGCAGTCCGTGGACATCAAGGAGAGCGGGAACGAAACGAAAGTAAGACTGAAAGATGGGGAGGATTTCTAATCTGCGCAAATCCGCGGAAGAACCTCGGCTAAAGCGAGGTGCGGAACTTGGCGGATTATTCATCAAGGACGGGAAAAGGGGAGAATGATTTCCGCCACAGCAAAGCCAAGAGCTCCTAGTTTGTCTTGAGGAGATTCGTCTCCAGCCTACCAGGGCAGGATGCCCACCAAACCACGACGTCAATAGCTTATGCATAACCTTGTATGTGACTAAAAGGGAAATACTTGAAAGAAGAAATTGTCGATCCTTTAAAAAAAAAAGTGTATGCCTGATGAAAGTAAAGATTTATTCTTTGCCAGATTAAAAAAGAAAAAAAAAAGAAGGGCCTTTGTGGATTTGCGATCTGAGAGTGTCAATCTTACTACGGTTTCCCCCCTTTCTTTAGTCCAGTTGCCTTTAAAAAATAACAACCCTGAACTAGACATTTAAAAAAAAAATGTTAACTCTCAGAAATATTAGCTTTCACTCTTCACACACGCACATATATTCGTACCCACATGCATACACCTTTTGTGCATCAGCTGAGGAAGTGGGGAGGGAGGGAAGGGAGAGGTCGGAGAGCAGAATCGGCACGGAAAAGCCCAGAGGGATTAAAGCTATTTGTCCTTTAAAATAACAACGTACCACTGTCAGTCGCTGAATTGTGACCACACGGCCGAAATTAACAAGTGATGTATATGTAGTGGAGAAGGTTTTCACACACACACACACACACCCCTTTTTAAAAAAGGAATCAGCTGCAAGGATAATATTCTCAGCACAGAGCCGACAAGGCTGCCAAACACTAACGAGCCGCCAAGGGAAGAGATTAAGTGACAGGGAACAGGGCTCTTCTCTCCCGCAATCACTGGTCCGCAAATGAAAGCCGAAGCCGTTTTCTTCTCCTTCCGGGTCTAATTTCAGTTCCCCCATAATCTCTGGGTTTAGAACCGAGTTTCTGCCTCTGTAATATTCACTGTATTTGTTACTATAATTTCCTTTTTCCATATGTGAAATACCATTCCCCATCCCTAGCTTCTTTCCTCAATTCTGGATATATTCTAATTTTTCTCTCCTTTTTTCTCTTTTTATCTCAAACAAACAAACAAACAAGAAATTACCTCCAGTTCCTTAGGTTACTTCTTTTTTTCATTGACGGAAAGACAGCCCCGACCATTTAATACTGAATAAAAATTATACTGAACCTCAAGACTAATAAATTGGCTGACTATTTCTCCCCTCTTGCTTAATTTGGAATTACAAAGAAAGAAATACGCTGAGTTAATTCACTAATTTTAAACCACAGCATTATTTTAAAAGTTATATACATTGGACCAAGAGCAGGACATGATTATTATTGGATGCTGGGGAAGAACAGGAGATTTAAAATATCTTTTTGGAATGCTGATATGCCCAAGAAATTCTTCCGTTTAAATTTCAACCATAATTGAAATTCAAGAAGAATGTTTGAGAGATTGGTGACAGATGAGAAGGAAGGAAGGAAGGAAGGAAGGAAGGAAGGAAGGAAGGGAGGGATTTGGACATACCACTGCCTAATTTGTGACAACTCTCCAAGGAAGTCTTAGGGACTTCATAATTTACAACCTAAATCCATCAGTCAGGTAAACCTGATATCAGCTAGGATCAAAAGTCTATTTACACTTTAAGTAGGTTTTACTGAAATCAGTAGATTAAAAAAAAAAACTAACCCTTTAACAATGTTAAAGTGTGGAAGCAAAGTTTTTGCCATTTTGTGGGGATTCTTTAGGATTAATTGCTAGGCTTGGAGGGGGAAACATCCTTGTTCTTCTGAAGACATTGCTCACTATTCTTGTGAGAAATTCCATTTTATCGCATCGGTCAAGGAAACACAACAGTGGGGAGGTCCCATTCATTTCAATGGGCTCACTGCAAGAAGAATTTCCCTGACTGGGAGGTTCTTAATTTTACCGTAAAACAACATTAGTTTCTAAAGACGAGGAAGGATGAGCAAACCTTTTAAAGCATTGCTTTTCATTTTAAGAAGGCTTCGTTGCATCTTCAAAACTTAAAAAGCTGGCAAATTATTCACTCCAAGCAAGTTGCGAGAGATGCCAAATTAAAAAGAGAAAAAGAACAAAAACAGGTAATCCGTATTATTAAAATTACTGCTTAATGTACAATATCCTAAATGAATAAACGTGCAAACTATAAGATTAACCTCAACGATACTGAAAATTCCCTAGACTCCTGACACAGTGGAGAGGAATAAATCCCACGAAAATCAATAAGACTTAGTTCTGAGTAAAGGTGGTTAGCTCTGGGGTGCAAATTAAGTTCTAGGTCAGGAGCGAAAATATGTTGGCTCTCATCTCTATAACTCAATGGCCTCCTCCTCCTTCTTCCCAATTTCTAAGGCAGAAATGCGGAATAATCCGTGATTGGGACTTCCTAAGGGGGAACGCAGATTGAGGTTAATGTTTCAGTCTCCTGCAGTCTTTCTTTGACCTTCTGTGTCCGTTGGGGATAATGGGAATTGTAATCCAACTGAGCTGCATTATTTTATGAGATTAGGCAGAGATGAAATAAAATTAAGGGGATTTCTCTCCATCTGATTTATCTTTTTTTTTCCTTTTAGACGGGATGGGACAGGGTGGAGATCTGGATACGTTAATCATAATTGTACCAGGGGAGAAGGTTGCCTTCTCTTGCCTAGACCAATCGCCCATCGGTTTAATCGCCCATCAGTTTGTAAAGGTTTTCCCCCATCCACCTTCTTCAGAGAACAGGTAAAGACTTGAACTCCCCAGCAATACTGATCAGCCCAACTCCAGTGGAGAAAGCTTCAGCTGTGAACTGCAGCTTTAGCTCGTTTGCTCAGAGCGAAGTTCCTACATCAGCCCGCTGTCCTGAAGTCAGCTTCCAAGGGAAGTCAACAAATCAGGATGGAAACAAAGTCCCAAATATTTTCAATATACAAGTCCAAAGACTGGGCACAGAAGAAGACTCTAATTTGATCCCCATAATATTTTGGTTACCATATTGTTCCAGAAAGGTAGGAAGTTTGACTTCGAACTCACGTGTGCACACACGTACATGTTATACAGTATATGCGATTTTTCCAACTAAGAGTGATAATGGAGGATGCAAATTTTCAGGATGGTGAAACTTTTTTGCGGAAAGTATCTTGGTATCCCATTTCTTTCTGCAATCTTGTAGCAATAGCACAGCCTCCAAATGTGTGGGCGACAGCTGACCTCAGCTCAACCAGCCTCCTGGGACTGATGGGAAATGTAGTTTGATGCGTTTGGAGTATGCTCTATTGCAGCATTTCTCAAACTTGGCAACTTTAAGATGTGTGGACTTCAATTCCCAGAATTCCAAGCCAGCTGA